AAGATCACAATTTGTGACCTTCTGTTAGGTTTTAGAAACAAGTGAACTGGTTGATACTGAAAAGAAACTTGGTTACGTGGAAGGTATATAATACCCCTGATGAAGGGAAAAGATAAGCCATAAGGATTGCTTTAAAAAATGAGAAGTGTTATGATCCTGTCCTGTCTACAGAGATAGAGTGGTAGGTTTTGACTAAGATGATTTAGATTAATTTCTTTGCTTTTATAAATTCCTAAATCAAAATTAATTAAGAAAAACTGAATTAAAATGGAGAGGTCTCGTTTTGAAAAAACAAAATCAAACTTTAAAATTTGTTATTATATTGCATCCTCATTTTCTGTTTTGCTTTTTAGCTAGCATTTAATAAAGAAATTTATAAAATTTCCAATGGATTTATATAGAACTACTATTATTTATATATTTTTGGTTTTAATGTAAGAATTCTCCTACGAAGACTCCATATAATCTTTGTTAATTAAACTTTCAGATTTGGAAACAGCTCTGTTGTAAAATAGTTCATGGCTGTGCACGTGTGTCGGAAGTCGTTACTTTCTATGAAGCTTTTAAAAAACACGAGGGCGATACATATTTAGGTGACTACTTTTAGTTGTAAGATAGTTTAACATGTTACTTAATGTTATGGACTAGTCCTTTTTAGCTCTTTGATACTTTAAATGTTACGTAAATCTGATCTTCAGTGGGTTTTGTTGTTTTTTTTCCATTTATTTGTAATTCCTCTGGGTTCTGCCTTCTAAAGACATCCAGAATTGAGCGTTTGTCACCAGCTCCTTACAACTGCGTTCATCCCGGCCCTCACCGTGCTTCCCCTGCGTGGACACTCAGCACCTCCTGCTGGTTGTCCTGCTTCCACGTCTTCCCCTCACGGTCTGGTCTCTTCCCCACAGCAGGTGGAGAGCACTGCCCTCCTAGAGCCCTCTCATGGCTCCCGTCTCCAGGGGAAAGGCCAAGTCTTCACGGGGCCCCTCGACTCCTGTGAGACAGGCCTGGGGCTGCTCCTCTGATCTCATCTCCCGACACTACCTTTCTTCACTGCTCTACACACAGAGCTCTCATACTGTCTCCCACAAGCCTGTTAAGCACACTCACACCTCGGGATCTGGGCACTTACCGTCTTCCTCCCAGGACTCCTTCTCTGCTAGGTATTTGCATGAGTTGCTCCCACACTTCATTCAAGAATTTACTAAAATAATGTTTTCTTAGAGGCTGGCTTGACCTCTTATATCTAAACTCCTCTTCCCACCTCATTTGCAGAGCACATGCATAATTATAGATTTTTATGTCTTTTTCTCATTTTTAACTGTTTTTTTACCCAGGCCTAAGTTGACAGCAGATATTTTTAGCAACCTGTTTTATTAAATTATTTCAAAACATTAAAATTAATTTTATAGAAACAAAATCTCTTTTTTGTACTGATAAAATCACTTGCTTATATAATATTTTATTAAATCTCATAATTATAACAACAGGTAGAGTTGGCATAGATGCTTTGGGAATAAACACACCTGATGCTTGCTAAAGCTGAGACTTACCTGGTGGAAGTGAAGGGTGGGCCTTCTAGAGCTGTCTGCTAGACTCGGCATGCAGACTACTGTGGACATCAGTCAGAATATTTTACAGAAGTGGAGAGTCTTTGTTAATCATCCAGGTAGTTGATCAAGTAGATCTCGATTAAAAGTTTTATTTGTAATTAAAAACATAAACTGAAATAAATTTAGCTTGATTACTACATAAAAGAGCTCTTCTAGATTATTCTAACTTTTATTGTTGGGTTAGTTCATCTTGAAAATAAATTATATAATTGTCTATAATAGATTTTTCATATAAAATTAATTCCAAGAGTGGGAATAAATGACTACTAGAGAATTGCTGCTTTTCTTAAAATAACATATATCGTAAAAAATACATGTAATGAAAAATTCTGGAAATGAATAATAGTGATGGTTGCACAACATTATGGATGTACTTAATACCACTGAATTATATATTTTAAAATGATACATGTTATGTATGTTTTATCACAATAAAAGAAAACTTAAAAATATCTCTATACTTATATTCTTTTAATATAAATAAAACCTGTAACAATATTACCACACAGTATAGAAGAAAAAGCAGAATTCATGGAATTAGAAGACTTTTATTTATATAGTACTAGTTCTAATGAATGAGTTGGATAAATTGTGGCAAATCTTTTATGTTTCCTTAAGTGTAGTTTTCTTATGTTTAATATGAATGCACTTATTCTTCTCAACTCTCAGGAGTTTTATGAGGAGCAAGTGAGGTTATTTTTATAAAATTATTTTATAAACTAAATCAGTCTATAGATTTTAGGTGGAATTTTTCATATTTTCAGAAGAGTAATTCATTGAACTGACTATTGATATTGGGTATAAGATTTTGGCTTGAGGCATTTGCTGTTGAGGTTTTAAAAATGTTTAAATTGCTTATTTTATCATTTTTTTTTTATCAGGTTTTTTTTTTTTTGAGGAAGATTAGCCCTGAGCTAACATTCGATGCCAATCCTCCTCTTTTTGCTGAGGAAGACTGGCCCTGGGCTAACATCTGTGCCCATCTTCCTCCACTTTAGATGTGGGATGCCGCCACAGCATGGCTCAACAAGCAGTGTGTAGGTCCGTGCCTGGTATCCAAACCTGGGAACCCCAGGCTGCTGAAGCGGAATGCGAGCACTTAACCGCTATGCCACCCGGCCGGCCCCTTAAATTGTTTATTTTAAATGTTTTATTTTTGGTGGAAATACAGCTCTTTTTCCCCAGGATATAATTAATTGAGAATGGAAAATGTTTATCTTGTATTTAGAGAGTTACACTGCTCATTGGCATTATTAGATTTTCAGGTTTTTTATTATTGATGTCTTTGCTTAACAGGCCCTCTACATAACTTAAGAGAAATCCTTCTGAGCTGAGATAGTTATTGAATAACTTGGCTTCTCCTTTCTTATTTGAAGTTAGTCAGTTAAAACACATTTATCAGAAAGCGTATGCAGTGGGACAGAGAGTATAGATTGGATAATGTATGGCGATGAAATCATCAATCAGGTGTAAGTAATAGAAGATGATTTATTTTGACACTGGTTAAAGTGCATGTCTAGTTGCTCACCTTTAGTGGACTGAAAGATTTTTTTTCCTCTGAATAAGAAAACAGTGAGTTGGAGGAACTCAATATTAGTTAATTTACAGAGATTTTTTTGCAAAAAGAGTGATAGGATATAGGAAAATGATCAATAGAAAGCCCACCATGGAAAGAAGCTTTTTTAATAAGATAAACAGAAAAAATAAACAGAATTTGAAGAAGAAACAACATGTATTAGGTGAAATATTTATTGGATGTTCTGTTTGGGGCCATGACGGAACTTCCCGACCTGGGATACAGTGTGTGATACTAAAAAGATGTGATCTTAATCTTCAGAATTCACTGTCCTAAGCATCTTCCATCGGTTACTAAATATGCTGACTGTGATTACTAGAGCAAGTGTCCGTGTGTTCAGTTTCAGGAGGTTCTTTCTTCACTTAGTTAGTCATAACATTGCTGCTGTTTGCTGCAGAAGTACTTTGGATAGACGTGTGGCCCATTGACGTATTTTAAAATTTTAGACCTGAGTGCCTCCAGGCAGCATTCTCAATCCTCTGTTTGCCATGGTCTCTGCCTTCCCGTGCTCACTTCACTCTGTGAAACATCTGGAGACATGTAACTCTTGCTGAACCTTTACATAACAGGCAGAAAGATAATTCCTGTCTAACTCATACCTGCAAAATGCTCACGTGTTCCTGTCGTGCCTAGTGAGCAGGGGTTCCCACCAGGCTCGGATGAGCGTCTGAAACCAGGTGATCTTAAATTATCCCTGTGCACGGTGTCATCTCCTGTTTTCAGTTGTAACTTCCTAATGTTTCAAGTGCTACCAAGTCTGTTTGTCATTTTCCATAATAAATTGTACATAACAGACTATGCTAAATTCTCTTAAGCCACAGTCTGGTGGAGAGTAAAGGCTTCTAGTTTTGTGTAGTTATTGCTCATACTTTTTGAATTGATATTTATTGGACAGGATACATTCCTTCGGGACTTCTTTTTGGGAGGGGTCTATTATTATTAATAGAGTAATATTTCCAATTATATTTAATTGAATGCCCTCAAAATGTAATGGTTAAGCTGTTCACATGGTTATAGAACTTAAAAATAAATCCTGTAAATCATTACAGAATTTGAAGTGAAAAACTCCGTGAACCATCCAGGTTTCACCCTGTTTAAAATTGCCCTGTCCGCAGTCTCTTTCTTACTCTTTCTTCTTCGGACTTTTTGCCACTTTACATATGGTGTGTTTGTTTCTTTATTTGTCTGTCTCTTGCTGCTGTGTGGGCTGTGAGAGCAGGGTCCTATTTCTGTTCACTGTTCCATTTCCTGCTTAGCACCGTGTCTGACACAGACGAGGACCTTGTTGCATGCGGGGTGTGTGAATGCGGGAAGCCCTCCTCTCCGGGGACCCTGTGCTCCTCTGGGTGCCACCCTCCCCCCTCTCTCTTCAGCGTTCCTTAGCTTAGGATTTCTAAAGCACAGCTCCTGCCATTTCCCGTCCCTGCTCTGAGCCCTCCCTGCCCGAGGAACGTCAGTCCTTAAGCACATCTCACTCAGCCTTCTCGCTTTGTTGCAGTTTGTTGTCTGTGTGTTTCCTGTAGTTAGGCCTCTGAGCTCCTTGAGGAGAAGACCTTCGTTGTCTCCGTCGGCTTATCCCCTGTACCTAGGCAGCGTCTGAAGGTGCTCAGAGTGTTTCTGAGTGGAGGAGTAATGCTTTCCACATGAAGCAGCGGGGATCCAGAGATGACTCGGGGCCTGTTGACAGTGATGCTGCTGGCGCTCGGTGGGCGGACTGGACCCATGCTTTCTGACTCCCTCAGCCCAACGGTCTACCTCCAAGAGGAATGAATGTTGATTTTTAACAAAAAGTCTTTTTGTGTCTTCACTTGCAGATATTGATGACGTTGAGAAGTACAAACCGGGTTACTTGGAAGCTACGATTAATTGGTTTAGATTTTATAAGGTGCCAGAAGGAAAACCAGAAAACCGGTTTGCTTTTAATGGAGAATTCAAAAACAAGGTGAAGACAATGATCTTTGTTTTAAAATGTAATTATGATACCTGTACAATACTTCCTTCACTTTGGGGGATTTCTTATGTGAATATTTGTGTAGCATGGTAACAAAAGTGCTTTTTACTGACTTTCATATTTAAGGACATTATTTTATCATTTTTATTAAAAGAATGTTTTCAGGAGATCTAAGTGGATCAATAAGACTGATAATTATCTATCTCTATCTATCTATCTATCAATATCTCCTTCATTTCAGAAAATGAGGGATTTTCAAGGTCAGACTATTGTTATGAAGAAGAACCTTCCGTTTGCTGTTCTGGAGAGGAGAAGGTTCCTCACCACTAATGTGAATCTAAGGGGGCGTCCCCCCCACCCGAGTGTTCTTCTGCCACGGCTGAATAAGCTGCTTCACAATTAGGAAAGCACCTGAATTACCTGACTGTCTTAGGATTTTTCTATTAGAGTACCACAAAGTTACCGTGAAGTGTTTCTGATATGACACGAATGGAGAAAATAGGCCAAAGAGTTGAGGTCTAAACATAGAATATTTTTTTAAGTTACTACCACTGCATAAATTACACATTATAACCAATATTTAAGTGGGTACTAATAAGGAAAGTATGCTTTCTAAGTAAAGAAGCCATGTTAATGAAAACTTAAAAGTTACAATTAGTATTTTGCTATACTAGAATTTATTGCTAGACTCAGTATTTTTTTAAAGGCACATTAAAAGATCCCTTAAGATCTCTAGGACCTCGTCTAGGGACTTATTAAATATAAATATAAAACTATTATTTTAGATAGGATTCTCTTACTGAAAAATAAAATGTTGAAAATTTATAAAATAAATTATTTTTTATCTTTTTTTCTCCAAAACATACGTTCTATTTTATGTTTGAAATGATATAAATTTCAAACCTGTATAGTACTTTTGTGCCCCTTTATTGCCTCAGGATAAGACTGCCAAGTCATGAATTTATAAAAGAGTGAGGTGGTTTGGGTTTTTTGTTTGATTTTGACAAACATTAATTCTTTTCTGAATGAAGACTAGGTCATTTATACAACCTTGTTTCAGAAAATAATTATTTTATGCATTGCTTTTTACCACTGCTGTTTAAAATATAGTGCCTAGCTCAGGAAAATTAAATTATGTCTCTTCAATATGGTGGAAAAGGGCTCTGTCCTGTAATCTAGATTTTTCCTACTGACTCCTTTAAGCAAGTACTGGACTTGATTCTAAATAATTGCAATTATCTAAATAATTTGGTTAAAAATCTCTCCATGTATCATCCAGAAAATAAATTGGCTTTTTTTGTCACATATCTTAAATGAGACTCCCCAACATCACCTCATTGAGCATTAAGTCGTTCTCCTGTATCTCAGGCAACAGAGAGTAAGAGAACTTTTTCTCTTCAGAACTGAATTTCCCAAGATTCTTTATTTTCTTCATTTCTTATCATAATGTGTTTAGTTATCATTGAAGGAGAAAGGAACTAGTATGAATTAGTTAATATATAAGGACTCTCCTTAAGGAAAATTAGCAACATTTTAGGAAAAAGATCTAAAGAATTTTCTGCTTTGGAATAATAAAGCAAGTTTTCCTTAGATGGTCTTGCTAGATATGTATCTAGTAAGTGGTGTATCTATTGTTGATTTTGCATTTTTTTAGACACCATATCAATTCGTACTAAAGAAATTTGAAAATGTTAAGGAGATTTACTCCCCTCAGACAGTGGGTTGTCTAAAATGACTGACGATGACGTGAACGGGTTTGTGCTTCCGCACAAGCCAGGTACTGGGCTCAGCACTTTGCATACAGCATCTTTTTTATTCTTCCAGCAACTCTGTGTTGTAAATCAGGGATTGGCAAACCGCCTTCTGTAAAGGACCAGACGGTAAATATTTTAGTCTGTGAAGGCCACGTGGTCCCTGTCACAACCGCTGAGCTCTCCCGTCGTAGCATAAAGCAGTCGTGGGCCACAAACAATGGATGGGCATGACTGTGCACCTGAAACTTGACTGACGGAGCCAGGGAGCAGGCTGGATTTGGCCCCCAGGCCCTAGCCTGCGGCCCCTGGTTTAGATGACCCCTGTTCCATTCCGTTTTGGAGCTGAGGAAGTTGAGGGCTGGTGAGATTCGGTGGCTTGCTCAGAGTCACACAGCTGGTCAGTAAGGACGCCAGGATTTTACTCAGCTTTGCCCAACTCCAGAGCTCATGGTTGTAACAATGAACTGTCGCAGTGAGAATGGTTCCACATTGGTCTAATGATGTCATTGCTGTGTCTGTTTTGCTTTGGAACTAGGCTTTTGCTCTTGAAGTTATTAAATCTACTCATGAGTGTTGGAAAGCGTTGCTTATGAAGAAGCGTGATGGAGGGGCTATAAATTGGTAAGAATTTATCTTTTCTATGTAATGTTATTTTATTATTAATGGTACTGAATAGCCATATAATACTACTGAGATCTGATTCTTTTAAAAGAGAATTACAATTTTTTTCATTTAAAAAATACTTATGGAGCACCTGTTGGGAAGGCATTACTGAGTGCTAGGCACTATGAAACTGGGAATGGTCCCTTTTTGCCAAGGGGATTATAGTTTAGTGGGGGATACTGTCAAGGAACAGACATTTATTTATAATACATTGTGACACGTGCAAAGATGGAGTAAAAAACATGAGCCATTTTTCAACATGCAAACATACGGTTATTTTATTTATGTGATAACTTCCCATCATTTCTTGATAAGAACAGTAAAAAACCTTCTTATCCAACATGATCTGGGTCACTGGCTGATTGCTTAAGGGCAATCATCAGTAGTAACATATGTAACTCAAACATTCTGTTTTACTTTAAACCTTTAAATGTGCAGTTATCCACCAGTCTTTGGATATAGAGCTAAGACCTTTTCTATATAGATCCCACATAGATTATGTATGTCCTAACATAATATATAATAGAAAATAAAGGTCAGATCCTGTAATCCTGTAAGTCCTTATACTTAAAAACCCTTAGAGGTTTTTAGGGTTCTTTTTTCTAACGTTTTACAGTTGTCTTGCCCACATCTCATTTGACACCACATTTTTATAGTGATTCATCTTTATTGAGGCTTTTTAGAGCCTTGGTAGTGTTTCCAGGGTCCATAGTTTCAGAGCCACTTAGTGTTCATAGATACAGCTCTCTTTCCACACTCCCTGCGTTGGTGATCACAATTACTGCTTAAATTATGAAATTATAGTAACAAGGACAGCTGAGATAACAGGTTTGGAAACAGCAACAAGTAACTGTTGGTGAGCCCGACTGTAGGAGGCAGAAGTGTGCACCACTGTGGAGAGGACTGCATCGGCCCCTGTGCAGACCCAGGGAAGCTGGGAGGCCATCCGCTCTTTCCGCAAACACTGATGGAGGGTGTGCTGCCAGGTTCTGTGTGGTCCTAGAGTTACCACTGCGAATGCAGTAAGCTGAGTCCGTGCCCTTTGGAGCATAATGTCTGGGAGTCGAGAGAGACCTTAAGGAAATGGTTAGAATGGGGTAACCAGGTGGGTGAAGAATGAGTCGGTCTCAAGGAATATCTTATCCGAGTCATCAAGGGGCTCGTCTTGCCTCTGACACGGATGCGTGGGCCTCATAGCTCCCGATTCTCTTTCTCTTGCAGCCAGAGTGACGCTGTCAACCTGTTCATCTTCTCCCCCTTTTTTTCTTACCTCTTACACTGCAGACCACTCTCTCTTTTTTTCCGCATAGTCTTAAAATTTAGATTATAGTTTCTAAACAGTGCAATTTATTAACAACAAAACTGGGTATAATTGGATGTCTTCCAGCCCTGCCTATTCTGTGACTAGTAGACTGAGCTGTTCTTTACGCGGATGTTTGTGGGATGAGCTCCTCTAAAAAGAAGGGTCTGTAACTGTCCAGAGAGGAGTGGGCTTCTGTTGCTGTCGTCTCCTTCCTAAGGGAGCTCTCTGAAAAGCTCTGCAGCCGTGGTGTTTCCCAGGTTTCTCAGCTGCACAGCAGAGGCTGTCTCTCTGTGTAGCCTTCCTCAGCTGATATCCTTCCTTTGTGCTGGTTCTGGTGACACTGAGGGGACGTTATTTCCAGCTCTGCCTCCTAGGTAGGCGATTACGTTAACAATAAGCGTTGACATTCGTTGAACTCCATGCTATCTTTCAGGTGCTCAGTGTTTTATATGTTAGCTAATTAATACTCACGAGAACCCTGTAAGATACGTATCATCATCGTCTCCATTTTACAGATGAGGAAACTGAGTCCACACGGAGAGTAAGTGGCCTGTCTCAGGCCACGCTACATGGGGAGCCAGGATGTAAGCCAGGTTGCAAACCTGCTCCCTTAACAGCCGTATTCTATGTCTACATTGTCAAAGAATACAACAAAATAAGGGTTTTTTTAGCTTAAAAAATTTCAGGATATAAGTTTTATGCATCTAGATAATTTAAAGTCAAAATCTTCAGAATTTTAACTCATTTTTGTCGGTTTTTTTCTAATTTTTTTGATACCACTTGATTTACTAAGTATATTCATAGTAGTTTGGTTTTTTATTTCCTTTGTCTTTACCTGATAAGTTGCTTCCCTCTCTGAATTCCTTACAATGCCTTCTGTCACTAATGAGCAAACCCTCCTCTCCCCCTTTTTAACCCGTTCTCCCCACTCAGTTCAGTTCAGCTCCACGTTATTTATCACAGCAGTCTCTCCCACAATGGAGGGTACATCAGAATTACCTGGGGAAGCTGTTAGAAAGTGCAGATGCGTTGTCCCCTTCTTTAGACCTGGTGAATTAGGATCTCCCAGGAGTGGGGTCTAAGCATCAGCTTTAAAAGCTCCCTAGGGGCTTCTGATGAGCCTCTCTGCTTAAGAACCAGGACATCAAGCCCTCTTCCCAGAGAAGAGCACACGAGGCCTTCCAAGGAGCTGATCCCTGGTACCATCTGGCCTCATTGTCTGTCAGTCTTGCCTCTGATCTCATGTTCCAACAGCGCAGAACCCCTCGTCTCTCCTCACAAACACCTCACTCATCTGGAGGCCGTCACTCATTCTGATTCCTTTGCCGTGATCGTCTTCTCATTTCTTGAACTGGCTCACTTACTTGTTCCTTAAGCCTTCGTTTTGACCTCACCTTCTCTAGGAAGCTGTCCCTCACATTAGCCCTGAGCCAGCTCGGGTGGATTCCAAGCCCTCTGACCTCCTGTCATGGCATTTAATGCAGTTATCAACCACCTGGTTTATGGGCTCGTCTGCTCCTCTAGAATGTAAGTTCTTCGAAAGCAGGTGACTAAAGAGGCCTTATTCGTCTTTCTTTTCCTTACGCCTGACATCTAGTAGCCACTCAGTAAACACCTGTTGGGGTAAACTGTTGAATGATATTTTAAAGCCAACAAATAACTGTTGTTTTTTTAATCTAGTAGCGACTCTTCTGTTTCCAGAAGCACTGCACTTACTAAGTCTTGAATTGATGTTTTGAGTGATCCTCTTTATCACAATAAGTTTTGTTGTTGTTATTTTTATTCTTTTTTCCCACTGCTTAATGTTTACTCTGAATGCTACATATCCTTTTAACAGAGAGAACGTCGTTATTTCTATTCTTACCTGGAATAACTGAACGCTGTTGTAGGAGAAATAGAGTTTTCCATTTGGGTTTGCTCTTCTACTCCTCTCACTCTCTTCAGCTGTGATTTATTAATCTACCTTATTTTTAAGAAATCAGAAACGTACTGTTCATTTTACCAGTTTATTTTATTTCACTAACCATTATTTATTCCGACTCATTTGTCTTCCAAATTTTTCAAGTTTTGGTTGATTCTCAAATGCCCTTCTAGCTATAAAACTGCTTTAATTCAGTTACTTATCATTTCTTCACTCATAAATTGTCACATTGCAACTGTTCTCTAGTTTAATATATTCTACACAGTTCTGTCAGAATTATCTTTGAAAAATACCAATGTGATTGTCATTTCTATGCGAAACACTTCTTGTGGCTTCCTTCAGCTATAGGATATAATCCAGCTCTTCTGTGTATTAAACAGCACGTCCAGACCTACCTTTCCAGCTTCCTGTTGTGTCCCCTCCTGTCCCACTGCCTTTCCTCCATGAATGCCTGCTCCTTCTTCAGGAAGCAGTCTAGGTGCCACCTCTGCAGAGAATGTCCATTTCTTCTGGGCAGAGTTAACTGACCCCTGTCTATGCTCTCGTGTCACTGCTGTGCCCCCTCTAGGTAGAACTTGGAGTGCACCATTGGTTTATGTTCTAAATCCAGTTTGTACCTTAGCACTTGTGATGGGACTTGGCACATAGTGTGTAGTTTTAACATGCTTACAGAATTAAAAAAATATATTTTTTTAAATGTATTTTTTTCCAAAATACACACACACACACACACACACACACACACTGATTTTTCCGAATTGTTTAGGTCTTGGCATTGTTTCCTTTTACCTTTCCAGAGGAAGGTGTATTTGATCCATACACCAATAGCCCCAGTCCTTTAGCTTGTGTAGATTTACTTCAGTGTCAGTTTCTTCTACAAACTCTGGAGGTTATGGTCCGAAATCAGTGTCCTTATCTCTTTAAATTTTCTCTCTCCTTTTCTCTTGACTACTTTCCTTTAGGATGGAAAGCCTTGACAAATCTTTATCCTGGGCAGTGTCTTCGAGGATTCTCATGAGTGTGAGGCTTTGTCTGATTTGAGGTTGTCTTGAAGAAAATAATTTTCTCTTTACTCAAGTTCCATATTGCTGGCTCTGTAAATTTCATCTTTTATGTGTCTGTTTTTTATTTGCAGGTAATTTTCTATTTCTGTTTCTTTTTCTTTAATTAGTTAGTTTGCACTATTATGTATCCATTAATATACCTTTTTATTATTTTTAAATGCAGTTTGGTTTGTTTCCAGTGTTTTTGGTATTGCTGATCTTTCTCTCTAATGTCACATCTGCTTATTTTGGTCAACAAGATTGTGTGTAGGCTACGTAATGTTTATAAATTTAGAACACAGTATTGAGTATCTTATTATAAAAAAGAAAGCAGCACGTTCTTCATGGTCATTATTTTCCATCTCATTTGTGGTAGCCACAGTCAGCTGGTGTCTATCCATTACGTGATGCCTATGCTTCTCCTCCCGTGGGCCATCGTCACAATCTGAGAGCCAGAAAGAACCTTAAGTACTGTGAGCTCCCTGGGGGCTCCATGGTTCAGTATTGTCCCCAGCTACTAGAAATGTCCTTAACACATAGCATAGGGATACATTTTTGAATCAATAAAAAAAATGAATCAGTGTTAACTATTTTTAATACATAAAGGCCAATTCAGAGAAAATAACATTTCTTGATAACGTACCTCTTATTACACCTTCAAACATTCAAGGTGAAAATCACTTCATTAAATCCTGAGGAAAGTGTATTACAACCCAGATTACATACTTTAGTAACTAAAAGGATGTCAGTGAGGAAGTTGGCCCTGTTTTGGCTAATAAAATGCTAATGTAAGAGCCTGTTGGAGAAATAGTAACAAGGGGGGCTTTGTAATCTCTCATCTTTAATTGATATATCATGCAAGACTCTCCAAGTCCGTTTAGAAATAGGTTATCAGATTTACAGATAAAAATATAGGACACCCAGTTAAATCTAAATTTCAGAGCAACACATCTTTTTAATATAAGTATGTCTCATGCAATATTTGGGACATACTTATACTAAAAAATAGTTTGCTGTTTATCTGAAACTCGGATTTCATCAGTTTATCTGGCAGTACTGTTAGAGAAGGCTCCCTGTTCTCTCACCATCGTTTTCCCAGAATTTCCAGGGAATGTTTTACTTTGGTTTGTTATAATGTTAAAAACATTGTATGTAGCATATCTAGTGTACCCCGTGCTCTCTTCAGAGGACTAGCACTTAAGACTTTGCAGTGTCTAGTTTTTCCCTTGTTCTTTTTAAGTTTAGTTTTGACTTTCTTTAGGGAAACGTCTGACTTAGAAGGCCTTACCTTTTTCAGTTTCCAGCTTCCCTGAACATGGACTGTGGAGAAGAGGATACAAAGTAGTTTAGTCTTACAGAAGATAATGCCAGCTTTCATCAATTTTATTTATGCCAAGAATGAAAATACATCCTACACTTTGAGTCTGGATAGAAAGCAAAATGACCACTTACTATAACTGCCGTATACCCAAAGTCTGATTACAGACAGATCTAGTTCAAAAGATAAATAACTAGACAGATCTTTTTTTTTTTTGTGAGAAAGATCGGCCCTGAGCTAACATCTGCCAATCCTCCTCTTTTTGCTGAGGAAGACTGGCCCTGGGCTAACATCCATGCCCATCTTCCTCCACTTTATATGGGACGCCGCCACAGCATGGCTTGACAAGCGGTGCGTCAGTGCACGCCCGGGATCCGAACCGGCGAACCCCAGGCCGCCGCAGTGGAGTGCAAGTACCCAAGCCCTTGCGCTACCGGGCGGGCCCCCTAGACAGATCTTTTTATCATGTATATCCCAGCGTATTTCACAAAGCAATTGCAAAAGTAAATTTGATAACGCGTGTATCCCTTATATCCACTTGAGGGGGGTGTGAATGTGTGTGTGTGTCGTCTCTCGTTTATCTCCTTCAGAGATCTGCCAATCACATTTTTTTTCTATTTAAAAAAATTAATTTGGCTTTGACTCCCTTCTCTCCTACTTTTTTCTGTATCCATTTTAATCTGCTAATTTCTTTTATGAAATTTTTAAAATATAGAGTTACTGTGTTTGAGAGGAGTGATGCCTTGGGCAGCATCTTTTGGAGACAGCGTGCTGTCCCCGCTGTGTGGGAGGCTTTGACAGCGTAGAGCCTTTCCTGGTCATGGAAGGAGCTGGACTCGTGCCTTGCTGAGCCTCCTTACTTGTGGAGAAACTGGGTTTCCGTATTCACGTGGTTTCCACTCCTCACTCTTAGCTGAGTCCTACATGCGAGTCTGAGAAAGAGATCCCACGACATGGTTCAGTAGCCAGTTACCAGGCTTATCACCTCCCTTAGAGGAAGAAGCTTCCTGTGGGTCGGATGAGGTTTTCCTTTCCTTCAGGAAGGTGAAGTGCAGTCGTGGTGGGCAGCCTTTTATATGTCCCAGGAGGTTATTTAGGGCTGTATACTCTCATTTAATTCTGGAAAGTGCAGTGCTGTGGAGCACTTTATCTTTATAACTTTGCCTGAAAGAACGTACAGGAGTCCACTTTTCCTGGTGTATATTCATGTAAGTCCTTTTCACTGGCTAGAGTTGTGCATCAGTGTGCAATATTTGAAGCTGGTTTTCTTTTTGGCAATTGCTCCTTTTTTATGCTGTTTAGTAATAACCTTCTCTTTTCCTCTCCAGCACGAACGTGCAGCTCTGTGACAGCCCTTTCCATTGCACCCAAGAGGAGGCAAGATTGTTAGTTGAATCGGTAAGGAGCGAGTACCCAGGGCTCCATGATCTTAGAGATGTCACGGGGGGTCTACTAGAAATCCTGAAAAGTCCAGCAGTGAAATGTGTCAAGTCTTTTGGGAAGCATAAAGTTAAAAAATAACATTAAAATCTATTTTTTTAATCTAGGGAATTTGAATTAAAAAATCTTAAAACCTTTGAGTTGAATTTTAAAATTCTATTTTCTAAAGTACATTAACCATTTAACTAATTTCATGTGATGCTATTTTTCTCAACATCACCAATTTGTTGTTGTTTATATGCATTTGCTCACCTCTGTCCTGTCCTGTTCCCACGAGTTATCCACCACTCAGTGTCTGAATTCAGCTGGCTGTTGGTACAGGCACATTTTGGCTCAAGAAAAATAAAATAAGTAAGACTTTCCCTTTTTTTTCCCTTTTAGTTTGGCTATCTCACAGGCTTTCCTTCTTCTAGTAAGAAGACATCGTTGGATTTTTACATGTCATAGTGATAATGCTGCCTGGAGGCAACTGAATTTAATAGTAAATTAATACTTGATTTGGAAAACACTAAGAAAATTTGTATTCAGATAATCAAGTAATATTGCTATAGAAAGTGTGTTCAGGAGTGATTTTGGGCTAGAAATCCAATTTATAATTTTTTTTTTTTTCCTTAAACTACTTATGTGATAAAAACTGGTGAATTTAGATCTTTACTTCAGGAACAACAAAAATGCTTACTCACTATGGCTGCTGTGAGTTTTTTTCTCACTGATGGATCAGCTGTTAGTTAGTGCCTGCTCTGTGTGGTAGGATTCTAGGTGCTGGGGGAGCAGTATTAAAGAAGAGATACAAGAACCTCTGCCGTGGCATAGCTGACATTCTAGCTGGGGAGATGGATAGTAAATAAACACACAAGTGAAATATACAGTGTTTCTTAACATCATGAAGGCTGTGATGAAATGAGCAGGGAAGAGAGGCTCAAGTCCAGGAGTGGTGGGGTTGTCGTCATTACAGAGGTGGTCAGAGACGGCCTCACTGACGAGAGGTCTGACGCGAGTCAAGACTTGCAGGAGGTGAGGGGACGAGCCAAGTGACCCTCTGAAGGAAAGCGTCCAGGCCACAGTCCCAAAGGCCGTGGGGCAGGAGGATGCCTGACATGTTCAAGAAATGCCCCAGGAACCTCCACGACTGGTGGAGAGAGAGAGTCTGGGGGAGAAAGGAGGAGGTGACGTCAGAAATGTTTGGGTCTGGGCTGGAGATGGAGGCAGATTCTTATAAAGATCCTGTAGAACAGTCTGTAAAGACTATTTTAAGAATTTTGTTTCTTATTCTGAATGAGATAGGAACCACTGGAGGGTTTTGAGCAAAGGCGTGATGTGGTCTGCCTGAGGTGGTAACCAGGTCACTCTGGCTGCACTGGTGAGAGGGGACTGTAGAGAGGTGAGGGAGATGCAGGGAGCCATCGCAGCTGTGCGTCGTCATGAGCATCACAGCCATACAGGCACAGTATCAGTGTATCTTCTCCAAGTTTTCCATTTCGTGGCTGTGTAATTACATTCCGAACTTAGTGCTCATCAATATTTATTATTACTTCTTTAAGGAAAAAAAAATAGACAAAAATCTTTTTATCTTTGTCCAAGCAGTCTCCCTCTCACTAATCCCAGATTAAGACTATTCTATTTATTTTAGTTTTGGATTTATAAATAATAGATATAATAGATACTTTGTCTTAAAATTAGCTGCAAGGTTAAAGTTTCTATTTTATATCCTGTTTTTTGTTTCGTATCATATTAGTGGGAAAACTTCTCTTGGAAAAAAAAATTAGAGGACATGGATATGATCTGGATAGTTAGATTTGGGGAACAAGATTAGAATTCAGAAACATTAACATCTGGCTTTAGTTACATGGTTTGGTAACTTTGTTGTGCTTTGTAATCATGAAGAAGATGCTGTACTGGACTTACACTCAGAATACTGCAGCAGAACAGCAAACTGCAGAAAAAGCCGTCCCTCCTCTCCAGCTCTAGGGATCTCACTGTACGTGGGATTTCACCGTGAAAACTTTGTCAGTTAAAGAAGTGCCCTATTGGCAGCCTCATCAGGAGCCCCGGTTAGGTAGCACTTTCTCTTGAAGATTTATCAACTTGTAATAACGAAATACTTTGTAGTCAGAGCATTTTGACTTGGCATTTCCTCTCTTCAGAACCACACTGAGATGTTGGGCTCAGAATTATTTAGGTGTGTTTTCCCAGACCTCTCTGTTTTGCTGTGTACTGAACATCGCACTGGCGTCACAGTGCTGTGGGTTTCTGCTTGTCTCTTAGCTGCTCAGAATAATTTCAGCTGTTGAAGTCGTCCGTCAAACTTGGTCCTATTCAGACCACGTCAGTCCTGGGCTCGCGTGGAAGCAGATTATAACCCGAGGGTTGATTAGTGAGCTCACGCTAACAAGTTAATCAGCAAGTGTGATACACAGACATGCGCTGCGTCGGGACTGCATGTATGGCGGGGGTCCTGTAAGGCTGGCACCGGAGAGCCCAGGTGTGCAGCAGGCTGGACCACCCAGATCTGTTAAGTTCATTCTGTGATGTTCGCACGACAACGAAATCACCTAATGACGCATTTCTCAGAACGTGTCCCCGCCGTTAGCCACGTATGACTGTAGATCCAAGTGATGTTATCTTGAGAGATGTGTAGATGTTAAATGAGTCTGAAGAATAGTTAAAACAAGGCCAGATAGTGGTGGAAGTTTTCACTTTCCCCATGTGTATTGACAGAATACAGGATGTGTTGACTAGGGAAGATTTTAGGGTAAAGTAACTGCTTTGGTGAATGGATACTTTTAAAATACACAAAGAGAAGAAATGGACTAAACTTTTGAGTGGTTAGTAGAACTGTTGCAGGAAGCATGTACGGTGAGCATATATTGATCAAAACTCAATTAAGTGTGGCAGCATTGAGACCAAAAAATCATTATCACCCAACAGTATGTACAGATTAGGAAAAATATTGTCACTATAACCAGGAACAATAACATGAAAACCAACAGCCTGATGAGTATTAGTTGGAAGCATTTTAGAAACAAAATAGGAATATCTACAGAAGAAACTGGTCATACTTAGGTGAGAGGTCTTAAGAAGGGTGGTGGATCTCAGGACGATAAGGAGAATTGAAATGATCACAAGGATTATTGGGTTTTGTTTATGAGTATAGACGTTTGAATTGTGGGCACTCATCAGAGGCATGGCAGAGTCAACACGAGGCTCGTTACTGAGATGTCCACGCACTAGGGAGGAGCAGAGGAGAGCCCTCCCCTCACCCTGGGCGTCCGGGCACAGCATGGCCACTGGCAGCCGGACTTCAACCACAGGAACACCAGTTACATTTTTTTGGATGTTGTGTCAAGGTTTTTGAACCTTTACCTAAGTTTATAGCCTTTCCCAGTTCTTGAGGACTATTTGACTAGAAATTGGAGCTTTATTTCAGGGAGCAAGGTTCAGAGCATTTGTAAGGAACAAAGAATGTGTGTCTGTGTGAGTGTGCACATGAGTGTGCGTGCACGTGTGTGTGCGTGAGTGTGCATGTGTGCACACACGTGTGATTTTCCTTTCAGATCTAACATTAGTTGATATTTGATGACAATTGATTTGACTACTGGGGTTTAAGATGCTACTTTTAGGATCCTTTACTATATGTAAATGTTATTTTGAAAATATATTGAGAAGATTGAAACAAAATTTACAAGCCTAATCCAATAGATGTATATAATTAGAGAATATAGTTTTTTCTAGTATGTATGGACACTTCCAAAAATTGAGTATATATATTAGACCACAAAGAGAGTTGGAAAGAACACCAAAAAGTTGATGTCATGCAGACCACGTTCTCTATCTACAATATAATAAAGTTACTAATCAGTTATGAAAATATTAAAAGAAAAAACCCCAAATCAATGTGTTGGGAAACTAAAAACACTTTAAGTCGTGTCTCAAAAAACAAATTATAACAAATTATAAAATATTTAAAATTGAGTGACAACTAAATCACTGTATGTCAAAACTTGTGCAATGCAGCAAAAATACTTTTTGAGAGAAATTAAATGTATATAGCAGAAACAAAGAAAGATAATTGAGAGGCTAAACATTCAAGTCAACAATTACTCTGTTCTTCTTCCTACCTTTTTACATTATAAGAAGAATTATAAAGAGTAGACCAAATATTTAATGAAATAGAAAAAGAAATAATGGCAAGGATCAATTAAAACAAAATACAGGTTTTCTTTTAAGACTGATAATATAGAAACCTATTAGAGGAAGGATGATGAAATAGAGAAGGCACAAATTAAAATATCAAATTAAAAACAAGACATAATTATAGACATAGGAGAGATTTAAATAATCAGAAGGAAATATTCTGAGATGCTTTTGGCAATACCTTTCTAAACATAGATGAATTGACAATTTTGTTTAAAATATAAATTACCAATATTAAATCAAGAATAAATAGGGGCCGGCCCAGTGGTGTAGTGGTTAAGTTCCCACACTCTGCTTCGGCAGCCCGGGGTTCACAAGTTCAGATTCCAGGCGCGGACCTATGGACCACTCATCAAGCGTGCTGTGGCAGTGTCCCACACACAAAATAGAGGAAGACTGGCACAGATGTTAGCTCAGGGGCAGTCTTCCTCACCACCAACAACAAAAAAGAATAAATAGAAACCCCAAATAGACTTATAGCAGTTTAAAAGAATACTTAATCGTGAAGATGGCAGTTATCCCATATTAATTAATGAAGTCAATCTGTTTTTAATCAGAATCCCAATAAGGTTTTCACTGAACTTGACAGGTTAGTAAAGGGCCAGGAATAATCCAGACAAGATTAATAAATTTAAATAAAGGGAAAAAAAGCTGTAAACAACTGAGGATATTATAAAATAAAAGCTAAGCTATTGATTGGGAGAAGATATTTGCATATAAAGGAGAAAAGGATTAACAATTTATTCAAATTAACAAGAAAAAGA